ATCTTCTTCCCCAGACCCATCAGAGAGAAGTCTTTTGGTGGGAATGACAAAGGTCATGGCTAGAAGAACCATCTGAAATCATTCATTACATCGCACTATAATATCGGAAGAACTCTTAGAATTCCACGATAAAAGAAATGACCCAATTAAAAAGCAGGCAGAGAATTTGAATAGACAATTCTCCAAAGATCCACAGATGACCAATGATCACATGACAAGAGGCTCAACGTCGTTAGCCACCAGGAAATGCCTATCAAAACCCCACAGGGATGTGCCACTTCACACCCACTAGAATCAGTAATAGAAATAGTAACAAGGACTGTGCGGAGAAATTAGGACCCTCATCCAATTCTGGGGCTGCTGCCATGGAAACCGTAGGGTAGGTCCTCAAAGGGCTGCATAGAGAATGACTGTGTTGCCGTTGCTGGTGCTGTGAGGTGCCAGAGTCTGTTCTAATGCATGAGGATGCCCTATGCACAACAGAACAAAACGTTGCCTGGTCCCGCACCGAGCTCACAATCGTTCTGTTGGAGCCTCTGGGCCACCCTATGTCCTTGCAGTCTTCCCTTCCCTGCTGGCCTTCTATCAAGCGAGGAGCGCTGGTGGCACAGCGGGTTGTGAGTTAGGATGCTGCCTGCAAGGTTCCCAATTCCAACTCAACGGGCAGCTCCACGGGAGACGATGAGGCTGTCTGCTCCCATTCAGGTTTTTAGCTTTAGAGACCGTTCTAATCTGTCCACTCTGCGTCGGAGCGGACTCAGTGGCAGTGCGTTTGGCTTTGGGTCTTCGCTGCCAACCTTGATGTCTTTCTGCGCAGGACCCAGCAATTCCGCTCCGAGGCATAGACCTATGAGAAATGAAAGCACCTAGCACGCAAAAACGTGCACACCAGTATGTGTAGCAGCACGACTTCTACACGCCAAACAGTAGACACAACCCAGATTCCGATCCAGCAAGAACGGGATTAAAGTGATAGATGCATAGAATGGAGTACTCCTCCACAATGGAAAGGAACAAAGCACTGACACCTGCTGACACTTGGATGAGCCCTGGAAATAAGGTGAAAGAAACCTTTCACAAAGGCCACATATGTGTGAGTCTCAAATGTGCTGTCATCGAGTGGATTCCGACTCACGGCGACCCAGCAGGACAGGGCAGAGCTGCCCCTCGGTGGGTTTCTGAGACGGTGACTCTTCACAGGACTAGAAAGCCTCCTCTTTCCCCTGAGGAGCGGCTGGTGGCTTTGAGCTGCTAACTTCCAGATTGTAGCTGTGTTAGTCTGGGTAACTAGAGAAACCAATCCAGAGAGAGAGATACGTGTATAACAAAGACGTTTATATACAAGAGCAGTTGAATACTGAGAAAACATCCCAGTCCAGATCAAGCCCATAAGTCTGATATTAGCCCATATGTCTGATAGCAATCTATAAAGTCCTCTTCAGACTCACGAAACACATGCAATGAGGCCGAATGCAGGAAGATCACAGGCCAGTGGGTACAAAGTCTTGTGGACCCAGTGGCAGTATAAGCATCTTGACACTGGCAGGGGTCTCCGCGGGCTCCTCCAGTTCCCGGGACACAGGGTCTATCAGCGTAGTGCCATGTGCCTGGTTAGTAGAGTGTCTCACAGGGTGAGCAGAGAGAGAGTCTCCTGCCTCCAAGGAAGAAATACAGGAGTTCCCAGAATCCTCAGGAGAAAGCCATGCCCACACAGAGGGCTCATTGGCTATACAGTGATTGACAGGCTAGACTCCACCCCTTCACTTATCATCCTGTGAAATCGACAAACGGCTCTGTACCTACCACAGCAGCCCAACAGGAAGCGGCTGTGCCGCCAGGGCTCCTCATAGGAGTCCCCGTCCTGTGTGGGAGATGTCCAGCAGGCAAGTCTATGGAGATATAACATAGACAAGGGGCTGCCTGAGGCAGGAACCTGGAAGAGTCCCAGGGAAAGAGAATTGACTGC